TTAGTGTCCAGATCACTAGCGTTTATTAGTGTCCAGATCACTAGCGTCTATTAGAGCCCAGACTCACAGTGAAGTAGAACGGGTGAGCATGCTGGCCCAGTTTCTTCAGCAGCCTCTCCTGCAGCCGACTGTTGGGTTTCTTCTCTTCAGGCACTGGAGGGAAGGCCTGAGAGAGAGAGGAGAGAGAGAGATGGGTATATTCAAAGAAGACGAAGATTAACGACTTCAAACACAACATATTGATTTTACAGTAGCGTTTTAGATCTTTTGTCGCAGTTAAAGTAAAGGTACTAATACCACACAGTAAAAATATTCTGTTACAGTAAAATGTTCCTTCAGTAAAAGTATGTCAGTATAATCAGTCAAATGTAGTTAAAGTATTCAAACGGTGACTGTTGTACTATTATATATTATATCATTGGAGTATTAATACTAATACATTCATGTAAAAAGAGGACTTTACTGTTTTTGTTCAGCTGGTGCTCATCTTTGAACTTTGAACTTTTTGAACACTTGGATTATTTTCATTGCTGATACTTTTCTCCATTAACTGATCAATGGATTGATTGATTGATAGGTAGGTTGGTAGATTGATTGATAGGTTGGTAGATTGATTGATAGGTTGGTTGATTGGTAGGTTCATTGATTGGTAGGTTCATTGATTGGTAGGTTCATTGATAGGTTGATTGATTGATTGATTGGTTGGTTGGTTGATTGATTGGTTGGTTGATTGATTGGTTGGTTGGTTGATTGATACATCTGGTGATGAAGGTGTAGTAGGAGGTCAGCAGGTGAAGCTCACCTGGAAGGTGGAGATGTAGAGATCCTTCCTGAAGGACAGACCCAGGACGTCCAGGTCCTCACGGCCGTACCGAAACGCACAGGTGAGTGTGACGAAGACTACAGGGAGGAAGAGAAGAAATGTTTTAGAGAATCTTCACCTTATAACAGCATTTAAAACTATTTATGATCTATAAATAGTTTGTCCATTTGTTATTAAATGTTTCAAAACATTTATTTCCTGTTTCAAAGCTGCTGTACACAAATACTACTAAAACTACTACTACCCTTTTATACCTGCACACACGTCTGCAATAGTGTCAGAGATTAAAAATGTTCATATATATTCTGTATTTTAACTATTTTATAGCTGCACACATGTCTATCACAGTATTATATATTATGTTTCATGTATATGTATGTATATATATATATATATATATATATATTCAGTATTTGTATATATTGTATTTTATACCTGCACACATCTGCAGCAATATTATATATATTATTGCTTTTTAATTTATTTGATATATATATTTTATTTACACACACGTCTACCATGTTTTTTTATTCAATTTTTTTCATTTATAATATATTTTTAGAAGAAAACAAGTCAACCAGCGTATATGTTTTATTTACATGTATTTAGGTATGTTCTATATTTTAAATAATATTATATTTTACACACACATCTACCACAGTATTATTATTATTATTATATCATTTTCTATTTCATATATATTCTATATTTCAAATATATTGTATTTTATACCAACACACATATCTTAAAATATATCATATTATGTAAATATATATATGTATTAACATCTGTTTTATGTCTTGTATTGTACTTTGTACTTGTATTTTGTAGTAGTTTTGTTGGAGGATGCTTCACTGTCATTGTTGTACAGACGACAAATGAAGACTTGACACAAACGACATGGAATTTAAGAACAACTGAAATCTAACTCTGACATACAAAGATAAACATATTACTGATGAGTTTTAAACGTGGTAATATACTTCATAGGAGCCAAATACACTCAGAATAACACAGACAGTAAACATGATGAGACAGCAGATGTTAGAACATCTGGTTCTTTATCCTACCTTTCCTGTCTTTCAGGTACTCGGGGTCCACGAGGATCACTCCATCTGAGAGTGGGAAGAACACAAACCGTCATTGTCTTTAAAAGATCCCATCGACCAATCACAGACACACGTTCATTCATTCACAGTTCAGCCTCTGAACAACACACGAGTTACTGACCCTCTTGATAGAATGTGACGATACAAACCTCCAGATTCCAGATGTGCTGACTCACCTACTGGGTCCACGTGGTCCAGGTGATCCACGAAGTCTCTCTTTCCCAGGTACACCGTCACCTGCACCGACCAATCACAGCGTCACACGTCTTACTGTCATTCATTCATTCAGGGGTTCGTTTTCATGTCTCATGACTGAAACTCCATGAAGAATCACATCAAACATTGTAAACACAGATCTGTAGTTTCATCAGTTAAACAGCTGGTTATTGTAGTTTTTAATCAAGATAACAGGAGGAAGTAGAGCGTTAGTGGGACTATTTTTAGCAGCGGATTAATCCTCATTCGGGGCTCTAGTGAGTCAGAGTGACCGACAGTGACTTTGTTTACATCAATAACTAATTATTAAATGTCTGATGAATATTAATATTCTACTGATACTCCAGTTTAAATGCAGCAACTTATTATTAAATATGATTTATTGTCTTTCCCATGAATCACATCCTGATGGAATCATGTGTCTGATAACGTGAAACATGTTTTCATCTAAATTGACAATAACAAACTCAAATTTATTAGAACATCTGATTATTTTGCACTAAAAGTCTTAAATAATAAAATACAGAAATAGACGTTACCGTGTGGTTATTTTATACAAACTATATATTTATTAGACTACCTGCTGATATATATAAATATATTTTATCTTTACCTGCACACACGTCTATCACATTATTATAAATGATATATTCATATATTAATTACATATTTTAAGCTTTATTTTTATATATTCTACATTTCACACATATTTATATTAGTGCTGGGCAAGTTAACGAGTTATTTTCGCGTTAACACATTCATTAATTAACGCCAATAATTATTTTATCCCGCATTAACACATTTTTAAAATTTATTATTATAATTTTTTTTTATTGAAAGACAAGCGACAATACATATACATAACAACAAGAGGATGACAAGAACAGTGGGATAAAAGCCAGCAAACATCCTATAGTCAGTTACGTGTGTGTGTTGCCGTAGAGAAAAGGCGACTTCCGCTTCTGGTCGGGGGGGGGCAGAAATAAAGAGAGAAGCTGCACCAGCTGTTGCTCTCCCTGGAGACAACTGGACATCGCTGCGGTAAAGTCAGCAGACACTCAGATCTCCGTGGTCAACTCAGCAGACACTTACATGTTAGTGCACCTATATGCTGACATTCACGGTAAACACATTTAAACGGCACAGATCGGGAGCGAGCGAAGGACTTTGAAAGTTAGCGGAAAGATTAACGTGAGACAACATCCGGTTTCTTCAGACGAACATCCGGTTTTCAGAATAAGATGCCAACAAAGTATGAATTATATTCACATTAAGTATAAAACATGCTACCTGCATCTTGTGAACCAAATGTTATTGCCCTTTTGTTCATATAGCAGTACTTTTAAAATAAAAGTGCGCAATACACTACTTTTGAATTCATTATTGAACTTTGCATAACAATGAGATTAATCGCAAAAAATCCATGCGATTAATTGCGATTAAATATTTTAATCGTTGCCCAGCACTAATATACTAGTTTAAATCAACGGACTCATTGTATCCTGTTTGCTCTTTTTATTCGGCTCTAAAAATGTGGAATACTGATTAAAATAAAACCACCACGCTGGAATATAAACTTCTACAACTTCTTCATTCCTCTTCCGGAGCTTTAAACTGCTCCCGTTCATGTGTCTGTTTCTAAAGACAAAACAATACTTTGGAAACTGGAAAACATCCAGTGGTTCACAGACTGGATGACGAATGTTTCCAGACCAACAGGAAGTCTTTAGTGCTGGATGTTTGATTTAAAAACTCAAGTATTTAAGTGTGTCTGTCGTGTGTCATCGTGTTCATTTTCTTCAGATGTATAAACACACATCAACTGGTATTTATAACGACTGTTCAGATCAGCCTAACTGTGTTTTATCTCAGATATCTGACACACGGAACGTTTTTAGGTTGTTTTTTTGCTACACAACTTTCTGTAAAACATCAATAAAAGGATCATTTATAAACATAATTTTAAATGATTAATGACTCTTTTATTAACATTTGAGCATCACCTTCCTGTTGGGAGAACATCTAGTTAAACTTTGTTTTTCATGTTTAATGTGTCTATGTACCTGCTCTCTGCTGGACTGGATGGGTCTGGTTTAATGTGTCTATGTACCTGCTCTCTGCTGGACTGGATGGGTCTGGTTTAATGTGTCTATGTACCTGCCCTCTGCTAGACTGGATGGGTCTGGTTTAATGTGTCTATGTACCTGCTCTCTGCTGGACTGGATGGGTCTGGTGGCTGCAGAGCTCGGAGCCACTTTACTCTGCTGAGTCTCTGCTCCAAACTGCAGACAAACAACAACAACAATAATAAAGCGGCTGAACCCTGAACAGAAACACAAAAGCACCATATAAACATTAAATACGTGTTTATAAAACACTATAATGTTGTTATTAATGAAGGCCCACAGGATAATGCACACAATAAAACACATTTATGACGCGTTTGCTTATTTATTTTAAAAGCTAAACAGGGTGAATTCAAATAAAAGTTATTTATTTCTATTGGTTTGATGGTTCAGAGTCTCAGTACTGTAGACAGAAACTGAATGAAGGCAGAAAACTCTTTGTCAACAAAGACCAAACCTCAGTGACCTCTGGTGTTGTTGATGATATTTGTGTTGTTGTTGTGGTTGACATACCAAGCCGACGTTACTGAGGTCAAACAGGCTGAACGGTCTGGAGGAGACGGCTTCAGTCTGGATGAAGTTTTTCAGTACGTCAGAGGACGTCGTCTGGATGTAACCATAGTCCTGAAAGACCGACAGAGAGACAGACAGACAGACAGACAGACAGACAGAGAGACATACAGAGAGACAGACAGACAGACAGACAGACAGACAGACAGACAGAGAGAGAGAGAGACAGAGAGACAGAGAGACAGACAGAGAGACAGACAGACAGAGAGACAGACAGA